TGAGAAAATTGTGTTATTAGCCACCCAGCCAAATCTGAATAAAAAAGCCGGCAAGTAAATAAAATAAGCTATCAAAATCTTGAAAAAAATTAGCAGATTCTCTGCTCTCAACCGCTCGATGCGTGTCCGCTGGCTGTGCTGAAACCATGCCCACTCGCAGGAAAACTGCCTACGGTGACATTAGGTGATACTGCTTTCGGGACGGGGAGATGAACGCCGAGGTGGGACATAGTCGGTTCGGCCCCATTCGTCAGTTACAGCGGATTATCAGTGAATCCCAGTTGTCTCTGACGGAGGTTTATAAAACTATCCGTGTAAAATGATCACTACAGAGGCGGGTGTTGGCAGTGATTATTAGCTCTCCATCAATGTGGCTCTTCACAAAATTAATCCACCTGTTCTTTATGTGATTGTTTTTTGGGAAATTAAATAAGAACACTGATCTGTTTTGTTCGTGATCACATCCAAGTAGTACGCATTTCCATGACAAAGGCATAGCTAGCTAGCAAACTGTAGGCTGTAGTAACTAATAATAGTACGGAGTCTGAGACCCCATTTACACCTGGTATTAAAATGCGATCTGTATCCAGATAAGTTATCCGGATAATAAAAAAACGCATGTTAATGCAAGGTGTAAATGCGTTGTGATCGGATCGCGATCGGATCTGCCTCACTGTAAAAAATTTCTTGTCAAATTAACAGTAACTTACTGGCAACAATTATCCAGTACTTGCTGTATTTCATTTAACAGTAAAATTACCGTAACACTAACTACAGTACTGTTAAGCATACTGCAAATTAAATAACATTATTTTACTGTAATTTCTTACCATATTAAAGTACAGAATTACACTGTTAATTTTTAATAATACTGTATAGTATGAAATGTTATTGTATTTATTTTATAGTGCTACTGTGTAACCTGTAGAAAATCAGTAGAAATATTATTTTAACTGTTAATGGGAAATAGAAAAAAGAACAATTGAAGCTTTAACTGCACAAGGTTTATTGTGTATTTTCAAACACATTAGTACATTTACATAATATACATTTAAATACATTAATACAATTAAATACATTAATAATAAAAATGTAATATAATACAATAAAAATCATGCATGACAATCATGAACAATTATGCATAAATACATGCAAGAATTATCATGAACAGGTAAAATAGAAAAGATTAAAGGGGTGCTATCTGATCAATCTATTAGAAAGATAGTTCATAACAACTCATCCACCCACTCCCTGCTACAGCTTAAACTAGTCTAAGATTGTCTATTGGTTTGAGATAGACTGTCTAACTGGTCAGTTGCTGATTTTAAAGGGTTTTTGGCTGCTTTCTATCTAAGGGACCAGATTTGCAGGGCTGGGAGACACATATAAACTTATAAACTATAAAAGCTTTGACGAGTAAACCACCAATCCAGATGAGTATAACAAAATGACAAGTTATCCAGTGTCCTTTAAAAAATAAATAAATAAACACAAAAACAACCTCATCATGCACATGTGCCATGAAAAACTTGCATTACGGATATCAATAATTATTTATATGCAGACTTATGTTCTAACTTTTGCAATAGGAAGTTTTCTATCCAAGCTTTTATGCAATTAAACCTTAAACTGTACTGTAACGTTTATTTTCACACAACAATTCTTAACAACTTGCAGATAGACAAAATTCACAGATGGATAAAAATCCGTTTAAAATGTTCTCAGTGGGTCAGTACTGGACCAAGGTATAGTAGTAGTAGTTAGATAAATAGAATAATTAAATTAGATTAGATTTACAATTCATCGGTCGTCAAGATGGATAGGGGTCTTCTTAACTGTCTTGTCTGTTCTCCTTTTTCACAGGTGTGAGCTGTGCATGTTAAAATATAGTACGTTTTTGTTGTTGTTTTGGCTAAACAGCAAAAACAGACAAAATGATGTCTAAAGTGTAATTCACTTAATACTAAAATCTTGTTTGGACTGTTGTTTAAAATCAATTCATTTACGATCACGTGAAAACGTAGGCTAAATCTTGCTTGTGTGATACTAAGTTACATGACTTAAAAAAAGATTGACAAGGCATCGTTCCCTTCAAATGAGTACATGTCAGTTTACACATAGTAAAAAAAAAAAAAAATGATATTATAGCCGACAATACTGTAGTATATGCAGTGAATGGTTCCTACCGGAACACCCCCAGGCAGTTTGTGTAGTTGGTATGACCCGGGGTTTTTTTGTTGTTGTTGATTCTAAGTTCGCTAGTAAAGTGTTCAACACCAGACTAGCTCCCTCGTGTATGTGCCGTTAATGATAACCAAAGATTAACAAAGACCACAACAAATACTGTAAATGTCACACATACACCTTGGGCGCTTTCCGCGGTCCAACTTTATCACTGAGGTAACGTTATAATGGCAGAACGCCAGGTCAGGATTTACACGAAAATAAGCGTGAAAAAATCAATAAGAGGAATCGGCACTTTAATTTTATAACAATAAATCCGAATCCTAACCTTGGATGTCCGATTTCAGGATACATTTATCGATTATCAATTCCTAACCCCTGTAAGTCATAAAATAATGAACGTGCAGGCGCTTCCACCGACTTAACGTGGTAAATAACAAAATGATTAGACCATTTTGACCGTATAAGAGGTTACATATGAAATATATGTTAATAAAATCACATTTAATCAAGTAAGGCTATCAACATAAAAGAAATCCGCGTCTGACTTATACAGACGTTATCGAACATTCCGCGGCCACTTCTTTCTAACGGTAATCTGTTAACTCATATGGTTTGCATAAAAATATGAATTACTAACCAGATGTATGGCGAAAACGTTGCCGACCGACAGCGACGCGATGCACGGCCTGCGTGTTCTTACAGAGGGAAGGGAACTGAAGAGTTCTTCATAAAATGGCAGCTTGTTGTGGTTATTTTTCGCGGTCATTTCGTACTAATGTATTTGAATTTACAGTAACATCCCAAATGGCTACATTGAAGAGTAGCCTATCATATACATATTATATTAAAATGTCGAATTAAATTGAATATAGAAATCGTGGTCAGCTATTCTAAATAACTTTAAAGTTATTATTAGCTAGAATCCGTTTGCATACACATTATAAGAATTATTACTTACCAGATGAAGAAGTTGCAGGTCGGCAGAAAAGACAGCAGCACCACTGACACGACAGAGAAACTCTTCCAAAGTCAAATATGCTCTCATGCACACCCCACTGACATAAATTATGTCATAAATTATGACTGTTATGGTCAACCAGTGCTACATTTTTATTTTAAATGTAAGAATAACATTAGTAGGCTAGCAATTTTACCCGTGGAACTGTGTGTGGTGTTTTTCGCGGTCAATTGCACTGCTGTATTTAGATTAACAGTAACTGATAATTTCCCAGAATGCATTGCAATTCTACAGTAACATACTGTCAACTGTGTGCACAGTACATAACTGTTGAAAAAACAATTTAATACTGTGAAAACAACTAAATCTACTGTAACTTACTGTACATAGATTATACAGTAAGAAACTGTTGAGAAAAACAGTATAATCCTGTGAAAACAACAGAAATCATTTACAGTGCTGACCACATCTGGAGGTAGTCTGGCTCGCATTGTGTCCGGATCTTTAGGTGTAAACGCAATCTGGTTGTTGAAACCACATATGTATATTTTACTCCTCCCAAAAAGGCAAAAAATAAACGAATGAGCTTGTTATATAGGCTATATGTCATGTTATAGTCAGATATGACGGCGCTACTGCGACACGCATCACCCATCACCGCAGATGAGCAGCTGAGCGTCTATTTATCGAGCCAACGTGCAAACATCGCAAATAAAAGTGAAAGTAAGTCACAGACGCTCAAGTAAAGAAACAAAATTATCTTACCAGCGCTGTTGCCACTCTTTTATTGATGTCTTTGATTTGGAAATTAGCTGATGATCAACGAAATGCAGCTCAAATCTGTTGCTGTTGGTGGCGTGCAATCCATTAAAACTGCATACGCGGGAGTTTAAGATGGGATTTATATCCGTTTTGCAAAAACACATTTATGTGGCCAGGTGTAAATGGAATCGGTACTTATTATCCGGATAACTTATCTGGATACAGATCACATTTTAATACCAGGTGTAAATGGGGTCTGACAGTAACTCGCGATTGAGCAGCGAACTGATGTGAATGTGCTCTATTGTAAGGGGAGGGGCCAGCTAGCTTCAGTGGCTCCAGTGCGTCATCAATTGGGGGCGTGCCCAGGAGCTCAGGGGCTCCAGTGCATCGAGCCCCTGTTTTCATCGAGCCCCTGTTTTAACTCCGCCCAAGGAAATCCACAACACAGCAATGGTGAAAAACTGTTTTACAGTCTAACTCCACAATTCAGTACTTCACAGTTCACAGTCTTTGTAATATGTTTTAGCAATACATTTCTAACATTTATAATGCGTTTAGCTTTTCTTTTTTTTTTCTTTTTTTCTTTTTTTTAGAATTGCCTTCACAGGGACTTTAGGAAACATTGTAGCTTTGCATTTGAGTTCATGTCCCATGCACTTTAGATCCCTTGCATATGTTTCTTGACAGTGTTAGTCTTCTGATCATATTTTTGCAATGAAAGAATAATTTGAGCATTTGTGAAGTTCACTGTATTATGTAGCACTGGATCAGACAGCACTCTCATCAGATAGAGACAGACACTTCAAAACAATTACCTGCCCCCTGTTGTTTTCTTTAGAGAGGAGAAATGTGTTCTCATTCAGGATGTGATTTAGTGGGGCTAAGTCTATGTTTTGCAGGGAAATTGTAAAGACAATTGACAATCTTACAATTGTATTGTGCTGTTGTCATTTCCTTTCACTGCAGTCTGTAATTTTTGAGAGGTGGTGTTTCGTATTATTTGGAGTTACTGAAGCTGTAATTTAAAACAATGGGGGACAAGATGACTGTTTGTTTTCTGATTTTTCTTCTACAGTCATGTTTACATGATTCCTGCCTTTACATGGACACTCTCATTGGGTATAATCCTGGGCCAGGTGATCATTCAACCCATCACGTCACTGCTGACACTCCTCAAAGGAATCCTGCTGGTTATTACCGTAAGTTCAATATTCATAAATTGACTGTTTTTTTTTTAAAGCTATTTAGCTCTCTTGTGCTACACATGAAACCACTTTTGATATAACATGTTGTTTTGTTTTTTGTGCTCACTTTTACTGCAGTGTTATTCTTTTGTGCAATTAATGAAATCTGGAAATTGTTATTTATATACATTTGTTTTATAGATTTCTCAGTTGATTCATACATTTCTTAATTGATTTCTCAATTATTGTGTCACATTTGGGCCACCATAAAAATAAAGTGAAAATCGTAACTTTTGTGATAAGATATTCACATGCATGTATCTTCTGTTCAACAATTTGAAGTCCCTCATTTCCACAAAGACTGCATTTCTTTCTCCAGTCTTCGGTGTCACATGATCCTTCAGAAATCATTCGAATAGGCTGATTTGGTGCTCAAAAAACATTTATTGTTATCATATCAATCTTGAAATTATATATATATATATATATATATATTTTATATTTATATATTCACATATTTGACAAAATTGTTTATTTGGGTTTATCTGTGGTATTTACTGTATATTGGTAATTATGCCCACAGAATGAGTGCCTCATTAATCTGTGAAGGAGCCACAAAGGACAGAAATGAATTAACTGAAAATGTTAAAAAAATGTGACACTTTAGACACAATGAACAATAATTATGAAATGATAATGCTTTCTGAAGAGTTCTTTCTGTGTGTGTGTGTGTGTGTGAGATGTTCTTTCACTCCAATAAGTCCAGAGGAGAGCGTCACCTTTAATATACTGACTCTGAGTGACACCTCACTTCAAGAGGTGTCATTCAAATGTAGAACTGCAATAAACAGGTTCATTGAAGTGTCTTGGAGGGCAGGAAGAGAGGGATTATTAAAACAGAAAAAATGTGTTTATTACTATACGTATCATTTTTAATACTGAGATGATTTTACCTTTTCAGTGCAATGTCTTGAGAGTTCTCTACCTGGGATGTGTTGTCCTTAAAGGGATAATTCACCCAAAAATGAAAATTAGCCCATGATTTACTCACCCCGAAGTCATCCTGGGTGTATATGACATTCTTTTTCAGACGAATACAGTTGGAGTTATATAAAAATGTCCTGGCTCTTCCGAGCTCGATAATGAGAGTGAATGTCTGTTTGACTTTGGAAGTCCATTAAAGCGCATCTATTCATGATTAAAGTGCTTGACACGGATCTGCAGGGGTTAATTAACGTCTTCTGAAGTGAAGCGATGAGTTTGTGTCAGAAAAAATATCCGTATTTAAAACTTTATCGACTAAAATAACTAGCATCCGGCAGATGGCCGTATGCATCGATTTACACCAAAAGAGTAAACCTTGAACTTGACACACAACGGAGGTGTTTACGATTCCACTTAACAGCACTCAAAGTGTCACGTTTTTTTAAATTTCAGTACCGACTTGGTACCGAAGTCAGTTCCGACTTGGTACCGAACTCTAAATCACACACATTGTACTGATGCTCAACTGATGGTAAAGATGTAGAATATAAGCGTGCAAAAGCATTTGTTGGATAATACTTTTTGAAATTATATAATTTCCATGCAGCCAACCAGATTGCTTCTGATTTTCAGAGAACCTTTTACAGTTTTGGACTGCGATTGGTCCGTGCACGGGCATCTCATTTGGGGCATTCGCCTTAAACTCCTCCTTTTACTCTTTAAGCTATGCTGCCAGGCTGGCGCTACACTGCAATGCTTTGTATAATCACAGCAAGCCATTCATCAAGTGCCTTGACTGCCCCCAGGCTCTGGTCAGTAAGCTAGCTGACAGTAATTCTCAACCCTGTTTCATCAGTGGTCAAATTACAGCCCATCAATCACACTTGCTGATGTATTATCCCTGTTTGAAATGTCCATGCTTATCTATAATTTGGATGGTTATCATTTATGAGTTAGTGTTTTATGGTGCGTGGACGGCCCTTCCTGCATCACGCTGTGAATCATGCCACCAAGACTCAGCAGAAGAGCCCCTGATGAGATATCATCTGTGACTGGCTCTTACGTTTAACAGCGGGCGACATATTTTCATGACACTCCCAATCCTACAGTGATCCATGAAATGCCCTCCACCAAATCTCCAGTTAAAGTGGGTATAAATTAACGCTTTACTATAAAGTAGCAGATAATGGCTCTCCTTCTGTGCAAATGAGGCCAGGAACGATCACGTCTCTTGTGTGGAGGGGTTGATTGGGTGCTAATTGTGAGGTGGGGCTGAATTATGCCATTGGCCAGGGATGTTTGATAGCAGAATACTGACCTACCTGTTCCAATGCTCCATAGTGTTGGAATGACAGTATTAGTTTTGGCTTCATTATGTGACCAGTGTGGGTGTACTGTTGGTATTGGTAATCTCAATGGTAATTGCCTAGTAGGTTGATGTACAGTACAGTATGTGACCTGCATGTTGCCGTATTTGATACATTGACAGTCATTTTTCTTTTTTCCTGGATTTATTAATGTATTCAATAATAGATTTAATATGTAATTTATGCATTTAGTGACTTCAATTTAATCATTCAAGAGTTCAGTTTGAATGAAAGAATGACAACACCTGGGCCCGGTTTTTCAAAAGGTTTAATCCTTTTTTTTTTTTTTTTCTACTTTTCGGGCCAGTTGTTCAAAACATTTAATCTGGATCAAAATGATTTGGATTTGGAAATCCCATTTTTTCCCATTCAGGATCAGGCAATCCGTCTTACTTTTATGCCGGTTTGGTTTTTCAAAGCAACATTGGACTGGATCACCCTGATCCAGATACACAGTTTTCAAGATTACCAAATCCGAATTACCAGTGCTCTAAATGGGTCAACATATCACAATGTGGGCTACCAGCTATGTAAAGAACAGGTAGAAGAGACAACATGGGGTCACTGTTAGTGTTTCTTTTTTTTAGACAAAACACAAATGGGGACAAGATAATTTTTATTTTATTTTTACTTTACTATACTGAATAGCTTAATTGTTAGCCTATGTCTACTTTATCACTGTTACAATGGTTACACAAGTCAAGTGCAAAATATACATTAAAGTATATACACAAATGATACAAATGTATTATTTGACCAATTTTAAAGTTTTACTACATTTTCTTCCTGAAATCCACCTTGAAATCCTACCCCCTGTTGGGATCAGGATAATCCTGCTTTTTTGGATCAAAGTTATCCAAATCCCACTGACAAGTTTTGAACAACACAAACTGAAGGTTTGATCCAGATTAAAACTAGGATTGGATTCCCTGATCTAATCTGATTTCAGATTCTTTCTTTCCCTTTTGAACAACCCATTTTCAAGATTTGATCCAATCTGATAACCAAAATCCGATCAGCTTACCTTTGAACAACTGGCCCTTCAGGATCACCAAATCTGGATAACCAGTGCCCCAAAAGGATAGGAAACCACAATGTTGAACTATAGATATGTTAAGAGATTTTAAAGTTTTCATTACATTTTGGGCATGTAAACCATGCTGAATCCACCCTATGATGGGATCAGTTTAATGATTTTTTGGATCAAAGTGATCCAAATTCTACAAAAAAGTTCTGAAAAACCCAAACTGAAGGTTTGATCCGGATCATAACCAAGATTGGATTAAGTGATCTAATTATGTAATCCGTTTTTTTTTCTTTAAAAAAAAAAAACATTTTCAAGATTTGATCCAATTTGTTATCCAAAATACTAGTGGATTACTTTTGAAAAACCGGGCCCAGATGACTTTCTTGTCAATATATTAGGTAACACTTTATTGTGGTCTACTTTAGAAATTTTACAAATTATTAGTAACTTTTCAACTACATGTCAACTAACTCTCATTAGACAATTAATAGACTGTCTACTTAATATCTGCTAGAACTTTATTTTGATGGTACCCCAACAGATATTCTACTTACTATAAGTAACTTTACAACGTCAACTTATTCTACTTCCCATTCCTCATGCACCCCTGCTCTCCTCATTTTATATGCATCTCTTGTCAGTTCAGAGGTTCAATTTGACCGGTAGTGCCCAGTGAAGTGGACTTCACAGGGTTTTTCGTTATCGTAAGTGAGATTTCAGTCCAAAAGGAGCGTACATGTTCTTTTCAAAGAGTATTGCTAACTGCATAGATCACTTCACGAGAAATGAACAGTTAAAATGCGCACATTCAAATTTGAATGCACTTTTTTAAGAAAGGTTACACCACGGGACATTTTATTTTTAACTTTTCATGAAAATTGTTTTTCGAAACCAACATGAAATGAATACAAAGAGTGCAATTCTAAGAACTTTTTTAAAGACTTTTCTTTTTCGTGAATACTTTTGTTTCTTATTAACCCATTTGCATCCTTGGCATTATGTCCTGAAGCCAATTATCTGAGCCGATATATAATGGCAACCTCTGCCAGAAAGGACTAACCATGGAAGTTAATCAGCCGAATTTTGACCCTATCGACTTTGGACTATTAAGATTTCCCATGGTTCCTTTCTGTGGGGGTCAGCAGTGATGTTAAATAGTTTTAGAAAGTGTGTGCCAAGTTTCCATTGCAGTATGAAATGCTTTGCAATATAAAGCAGACTGACAGTAATTAAGAACAGGTGTAGCGTGCGTGTGTTGGGATTGTGGGCAGTACGCTGGAGGATGTCAGATGCTGTTCCCTAATTGCCACTAGCTGAGGATTTATTGTTAATGTTGGACCAACCTCCTTTTAACTCCTGAGAGAGAATCGTAACCTGTCCTGAAATATAGATTCATTAAGGATGCATATGGCATGCCTTTAAAATGGGCCCATGAAATATTTCATCTGGGAGACAATTCCTGGCTGGCGAACGAACAATTGTTGTTAAAATGATTCATAGTGCTAGACTAGAATCAGTATTGGGAGAGCATTACATATTTTAGCTGTATAGGGCGCTTTTACCATCATCAGTTTCGTCTCGCTACATCTCTTTGTGGGAGATCTTCATTATGTGTAGCCTATAATTTGTGTAAGTAT